AGTGTGATCACTTGTGCAGTAAATCATTCCTTTTCTTGATGTACTTTAGCATTTGAAGGATGTAGTTTAACAGAAAACAGCAGGAACTGATATTATGAATACATATGACATGTAACCTAACTTTTCCCAGCCTTTTTATGCTTACAGAGAGTTGGAACTCATTGGAAAATACTTTACATGGAAGACAATCCAGTTGCAATATGGAGTAAAAATTCAACCACTTCAGATTTTTCTAAAAAACAGAAATTTCAAGCATCTCTTTTTCTGTGTGTGTAAAGAAAAAAAAATATATTTTGCCCATGGGAAGCAAAGCAATTAGCCTTTTCTTCTGCTCTCTCACTCCACTTCCTCAGAAAGCTCCAGAGGAAAGCTAATTGAGGTGTGTCCCAAACATAAAGCACTGCCAAAAGTCAAGGTCAGTATGTTCTTAGTAGAAATTCTGTTTGCTCCTTTGGAGGACGAAACCACAAATACCAAGTGAGGGTTCCCAGATAAGCTTCTGGAAGCCTGGAAGACCCAGCATTGTTCTCAAAGTTTTCTGACAAACCCATGCTGAGGAGAACTCTGATGTACTTTAAGAGCAGTGAAGATCCTGACGTATCAACCCAGCAATGTAGTCAGCTGCTCTGTTTAGGTCAGTACCATCCCTATCACAACTCACCAAACTCAGCATTTCTCAAAATAAAAAACAGTGTGAAATCTTAAAATGTTTTACCGTACCTACACCTCATGGCTCCATCTGTAGAAGAAAATCACTGGGAAAAAAGACAGTCACCTATAGAAATATTTAGAAACGTAACTTCCAAACAATTCTCCTCATTCAAAATTATTTACATCTTCTTGGATGCTTCCAGCTAAGAAATTAAGATAACTTGTCAACATCAAACTAAATAAATAGGAGATTGTTCATTAAAATCTATTAGGACAGATTTTTATTTTTTCTTAAATTTCCATGGTGGATCTTTGAAACAGTTTGATTCACTGCTGCCCTTCAAACATTCACATACAAAATGTGGAAGTATCAGGAAATCAGCTAAGATTTGGTGTTATCTTCCAAACACAGCTAAAGAATATACCATCTTATGTAACTTAGGTAGCACAAAATTTTTCAGAATTTGAAAGATAACACAGACATAAAACTGTTTCCAAAATCATATTTGCAATAACCTTAAACAAATGTTACATGAAAGAAAGCAGACTCTGCAACAAAAACCACAGCGAATTTTGTAGTAAAAGTCTACCCATATCAATCATATCTGAGCACGTACATAAAGAGAGCTCACATGGTCCAGGGTTACAAATAATATACAGTATTGCTAACACTCACTAAATAGTATTTATACTATCCAAAAAAAAAAAGTGAAAAAAAAAAGTGAAAAAAAATCCCACATGTGATCACTTTAACACCATAAATATTAAAATGCCCATCAACCTACAGAGTTACGGTGTCTGCAGCTGAAATGCTTCTTAAATGACCTGGGAATGCTCTCCACTTGTCTCTTCTGTCAAAGTATGAGTGCAGAATAACAGTCTCCATGGGCAATAGGTGAAGAGTTACAATATTGAGTTTTTACAACTTTCCTGAGCTTTCAAGAACATAATTTAGGAAGTTTTAGAATTTGGACAAAAGACTGGAGCCACATGAATTTGGCACTTTCTTGGGCACAGTTCTAAAATTCAGGAGAGGAAGCACTCTTATGTAGCTGTCTCCCTTATGAAGATCTGCCCAATCTTGATTGAAAACAGATATCCAAATACACTCCAGATTTTCACTTGGGTGGCAAAGTATTCTCTGCTGAAAATAAAGAGACCATTACTGCAATTTGGGCTGCTTTTGGCTGCAGGATCCTCTTTCATCTTTGGTGTGTCAGAAGCTTCTCTCAAAAACTATATGTCCAAAACATAAATGTGGAGAGGAATGGGTTGAAAATGGAAGATTGGTGAGCAGAAAAGAGGTTGGGTTGGTTTTAGAGTTGTTTTTGCTCAAGAGACTTTTGCAGCTGGCAATGCTAGGCCTGGGAAAGATCAGTGTGGGAAAACCCCATTTATTACACCTACTGATGCTTATCCTCTGCCTGTTTTGAGATGTAGGATTCCTGTTTAGAAATAACACTTTCTCAGAGACACAGTTGAGGTCCCTGTTGGGAGAGAGGGAGATGGTAAAAGCACAGGGGAGAACACAGCCTTTAAGTTACGCATATGCAAAAGGTGTTGTTATAAAAGCACCAGAACAGGCCTGCTGCTGCACTCTTTCACCCACTGCATGATTTAGCAGTGTGTTTAGGGTGTCTGGAATAAACTTTTCCTTAATACCTTAGCCACGGTTTGGCCATCTGGGTTTACCTGTGTGCGTATCAATTCTTACAGTAAACATTCACCATGGGCAGCTCTTCCAATGGTATCCTGAGAATGGCTCCTGAATCTACTCTCAGGAGCTACTAGCCTTGGCTTTGAAAGCCGGAAAAGCTTTTTATCATTGGCTCCTCCCAGTCAGATACATAACCACAAAAGCAAATTTAGAAACCATTCTTGGTTTTGCCTGATAGATCAAGTGTTCTTGCTGATGCATCAGGACATAAAGAATTCTGTATAACCAAAGCAGCACACCAGGCAAGTGAAAACCATAACTGAACTGCTCCAGTCTCATAGCTTGAAGTTCTCTCTGTTGAAGCATATTTCTTTCATTTTTTCCTTAACAGCAGGATACCTTTTAATTCTTATAAAGGGATGAACTTGTGACTCTGGGATATTGAGATATTGACCAGAACTACTCTGCTTGAGATATAGAGGAGACTGCTCAGATACTCAGCAGACCCTTGATTGTCAAGATATCCACTCTTATTCTGTGAGTCAGGAAAGTACAAAAACTTAGTGGGCTAAGACTAGAGATAGTCCAATGATTACACTCACTCTAGCTATAGTTCATTCTATAAATCTACTAGTGAATTAATAAAAGGAACATTCTGAAGATCTATGCCAATTGCCTCCAAAAGGCAGACTACAGCACTTCACATGCAGAATCTGCATGAAATTACTCTGTAATATTTGCTTATTAGCCCCGAAAAAAAAAAAATAGACTGGTGAAATCTTTACACACAGATTCCACCAGGGAAACTATTTTAAAATGCTGAATTTCAATAAATGAAGGAGTGTTTCTCTTCAGCTCTCTCCTTAGAGGGTACCCATGTATTTTTATAAATGGTCAAGATGTGCAAGCTTCCTGTTTTCTGCATTATGAGGTGCAAATGGCAATTTCTCCTTCTTTTAAGAACCATTCTTGTCCATATTAAAAGGTCTTCTAACAGCTGTCTTCTGCCTTCTCTTTCTAATGTTAAACACCAAATCCATTCACAATGTGATTAATCTTATGAGACCAGGTTTCCTGCAACCCTGATCCTACTCAGCCTTGTTCTACACAGGCCTCTCATTAGCACGTATCTTATACTAAGGATGAGCCTCAGAAACTGACACTGTGTCAGTGAAGAAATAACAGGAGACTCCAGCCCAGGCATGACTCTGGTAGTGGTTTTCCCTCAGCCACCAGTAATGCCACAGAGAATCACCTCTGTGAACCAGCTGGTGGTCACATCAGGGGAGAGGGTGTGGGGGCTCTCTGGAGTCCACAGCCAGTTGCCTGCTCTTCTGTCAGAAAAAGAAACAGATGTGTTACTCCTTTTACACAGTCCCCTCTGCAGTCATTTTTGTCTGTGATTACCTTGACACACATGACCTCTTGGAAAATTAATTTCTTGGAGTGAGAATTGAAATTAATTACTTTAGTTAAAATAATATGACAATTTTAAAATCTGATTATAATTTCATATTTCCTGCTAAATGTTCACTATCCTAGTGTGACAAACTAGAGTTGTGTCTGGAAAACAAAGGAATAAGACATTTCCATACATGCAGCTATGGAGTTTTACCAAGATTATTCTGTGTTTACTCCTTGATGTTTAGGCTCAGGGGAACCAACATATCTGTTGTTGAGATACTGACAGGGAAGATTGCTACAGGGCTTGGCCCAATCCCCTCTCTCTCTTCAGCGGCATGAAGGTGCCACTGTATTCTATGCGGCTGCCAGTCCAGGATGAGGATGATGGAGCTGGTCAGAGGGTATTGCTCTGGTTGATATAGCCAGAGTGGACTGTACTGCATCTTTGTTTCGCTGCACTTTGCATAGGAAGGGTGATGCTCCTTGGGCACACTTGGCTTTTTGGGCTTGCACTTCACTGCTCAGCCACCATGTCTGTAACATGATTGGCTCCTCCATATCCAAACACACACATGCTTCCTGCATTAGCCGTGTTCCCTGGTCTTTGGGTTTTGTGAAGGAGTTGGTGGTAAAAGCCTGCAGAGTTCAGCATGGTTGTGAACTTCCCAAAGACCCTGTGATGCCACATCTGGTGTTTTCCTGGGAGCTGTCAGCCCGCAGTGCTGGGAGCCAGGCACTGCTGCCTGCCCTGGGGCCTGCACACCGTCATCCAGCAAGAAGAGGGGCCTAAAGAATGCTGGAGAGAGAATTCTTACAAGGGTAAGTAGTGATAGGACAAGAGGGAATGGCTTTCAAGTGGAAGAGCGTAGGCTTAGATTAAACATTAGGAAGAAATTCTTGACTGTGAGGGTGGTGAGGCACTGATATAGGTTGCCCAGAACAGCTGTGGATGCCCCATCCCAGTAAGGCTTCAAGGACAGCTTTTGTACCAGGCTTGGAGCAAGCTGCTCTAGGTGTCCCTGCCTAAGGCAGCAGGGTTTGGAACTAGATGATCCTTAAGGCCCCTTTCAGCCCATACTATTCTATGGTTCTATGATTCTATGTTGCTCCTCCCCCCACCCCCGTGCCAGAGGCCCCAGTGCCCAGAACACAGAACCCACCACCCTGTGACATCAGCCCCGGGGACGAGGCCTTCGCAGGCAACGCGGCTGCTGCAGGCACTGCGTCTGCGGCTGCGCTGGTGCAAGGAGCCCTCACCTCTTGCAGCTGACACGTGCCTCTGGCAGCCATGAATTGGCTCTGCCTCCTCGTCCTGCTGGCCACGTGTGGGCTTGCACACGGCACATGGGACAACTGCGGGTAAGTGGCCCCGGGCTCTGGGAAGGAGCTTGGGCAATGCTTAGGAGGGGCCACAGGAGTGGGCCCACTTGTCCCCCATGGCAGTGCCACAGCTTCCCAAACGCAATTGGAAAACCTCAGTTCCTTGCCAGCAGCTGAGTGCTGACACAGACAGACACACCTGCCATGGGCTCCCCAGGCCTGCTGTCCATGCAGCAGCTGGTGGGGAGGGCAGACGACTGAGCTTCAGCCTGGGCAGCAGCACAGAGCAGCACAGTAATGACTTTCTGCTTACAGAGGGCTGTGCGGGTACCGATCCGTGAGTTATGACTATGGCGCCGCTGCTTATCAATACGGCCACTACGGCATGACACGCGTCGTGGGTGGCACAGGGGCCCGGGAAGCGTCCTGGCCCTGGCTCGTCAGCCTCCATCATGCCTGGATACCGGGCACAGGGCACATGTGTGGAGGGTCCCTCATCCACTCCCAGTGGGTCCTCACGGCAGCCCACTGCTTTGATGATGTCAGGTAAGGAGGAGCAGGGAACGGGAATATCCTCACAACACCAGCAGGTGCCCTGTCACCAGCACCACGTCTTACTCCCACCCCCTTTGCTTGCAGTGAGCCCAGGGGCTCAGGGGAAGGCTGGCCTCATTCCATGGCTTCCTAGCAGCCCCCAGCTCACCATTCCCACAGCCTAAGGCAGACTAGGGCGGTCAGTGTGCCATAGCACTGAAGGCTGCCAAGTGCTGGGCTGCTGCAGTGCATGGCTCTGCTGCCTCTTACCCCTCTCCCTGCATCTGCCTTCCAGCAACATCAGCCTGGTGTACGTGATGATCGGGGCCACCCAGTTGTCTCATCCAGGCCCTGGGGCACAAATCCGCTACGTTAAGCAGCTGCGGACTCACCAATACTATAATAAGAAGAACATGAAGAACGACATCGCCTTGCTGGAACTGGACTATCCTGTCCTGTGCAGCCCCTACATCCAACTGGCCTGTGTGCCCGACTTCACACTGAGAGTGTCGGAGCTGGTATACTGCTTTGTCGCCGGCTGGGGTGCCACCAGTGCCAGGGGTGAGTTCCCAAGAAGGACTCGTGCTCTGAGGGCAAGCTCAGCACTCTGGGGAGACAGGTTGGGCTTCCTGACAGCGGAGGCCAAAGTCAGAGTCCCATTGCAGGACAAATGCCTCTGGAGAGATGGGTGTGGCTTGCACCCAATGTCACACAGCCAGGGAGGGACACAGCACTCCAGCACCTCTCCAGAGGCAAAGCCAAGGCCTAGCAATGGGGCTCAGCCCCAGGCAGGGCAGGAGAATGGCAAGGAGCTGGTGAGTTCTCATTCCTTTCTGTGCCCACAGCTTCAACATCAAGCGATCTCCTGCAGGAGGCCCCGGTCCACCTCATCGATCTCAAGCTCTGCAACAGCAGTGAGTGGTACTCAGGGGAAATCCACAGCAGCAACGTGTGTGCTGGTTATCCACAGGGCTTCATCGACACCTGCCAGGTAGGAAGGAGTGTGTGATGAGCCACTCAACCCCCAGCAGCACAGGCAGCCCGGTCAGCACTGCCCAAACACAGCCCCGGGCGGGCCTTGCCCAGCCAGTCAGTCGCCCTCCCAGCCCCACGTCCACACTGCTGTTGGGGCTGCCCTCCCATTCTCCATCCATGTGTCCTTGCTCAGTGCCCCCATTGTCACAGAGGTCTGCCACTCTGCCCAGAGAGTCCATCCAGTCCCCTTGGCAGCCCTGGGGTCCAGATGCTGACCCCGGAACATCCATCCTTCACACATCCAGAATCATTCTGCAGAGATAAGAGAGAGCCCTACCTTGCAGGACCTCACCCCACTCACAGCCAAGGTTCTGGATGCTCCAGCACCTTGATGTGCTGTGAATACATGCCTGGCACCTTGCTCTGCTGGGAATACAGCTGTGGTGTGAGAGAGAAGGAGACAGCCCCAGTGCTGACCGGGGCCACCCAACATGACCTTAATGCTGTCTGCTGCACTGCAGGGGGACAGCGGTGGTCCTCTCATGTGCAAAGACAACATCGCTGACTACTACTGGGTTGTTGGAGTGACCAGCTGGGGAGAAGGCTGTGCAAGAGCAAAGCATCCTGGAGTCTACACCTCCACTCAGCACTTCTATGACTGGATCCTGGCTGAGATGGCTGCAAGCCCATATAGAAAGGCTTCTCTAGCAGCACAGACTTGGGGTCATTTTCCAGCCGTCCCACAACCCACTCAGTATCCATGGATGGGACCACCCGTCACACAGCCACCATGGATGGGACCACCCGTCACACAGCCACCATGGACAAGACCACCCGTCACACAGCCACCATGGACAAGACCACCTGCTACACAACCACCATGGACAAGACCACCCACCACTCAGCCACCATGGACAAGACCACCCGCCACACAGCCACCATGGACAAAACCAACTGCCGCACACCCACCATGGACAAAACCACCAGCCTCAGAGAAGCCAAAGCCAGTACCAACATCATCGGACCAAGTTAGCTCCTGCCCATTTCCAAATGATGAGCTGGTGAAATTCTTTACTCAGGTGAAGGATCTCCTCCAAGAGGTCTTTGGGGAAAACACAACTTGAGCAGCAGGACAGACAGGATCCTGTGTGAGCTGCAGTGCACCACAACCATTTCCTGATGGTGCAATGCCTGCTGATCCAAAGGCCGCCTCAGTGTCAAAAGCCTGCTTTGTCCTGCCTACACTCCTCTTCCACGTGCAGGCAAACACTGAAGTTGACTTAGTTGTTGAAATAAAGTTGCCTATGTTCATAGCTAATCATGTTTTCAGTCTAATTCTGTCTCCTGGGCAAAGCAAGGACTGCCATGCTCAGCACCTCAGCCTGAAGTCAGACCAGGCAAGCACAAAGGGACAGTCGTTCCAAAGGGCTGCAACTGGGCCTGGCCAGAGAGAAGGGTGCTCAAAGCCACCATGGGATGGAGGAGACTGGCACATCAAAGCTAGGAAGAAGGTAGGAAAAAAATTTTAGTAAGGCTCCTGTGTTTGTTGAAAACTCCTAGCAGATATTGCTGCCTCATTGCACTCAAGATAAATTCCTCCTATATCAATCATTTGTGAGAAGAGTGTTGCTGTTTTACACCACTGACATTGCTCCTGTGTGCAATTTCCCCCTTTCCCCAGCAGCAAAAGAGAGAATGAGCTTTGCAGTGCTGCTGTCAGTGCTATTGTATTTTTCCGTTCTTCTGGTCCAGTTTTGACACACTGGAACCTGAGATGCACTTTGTTTTCTAAAACTGTGTCAGAATGAATTGACAAAAAATAATTAAAGAGGAAAATGTAGGGGAGGGAGGTGGAAATACTGAAACCTTGAGTTGTGACATCTGTCAAACACAAGCAAACCCCAACTACTAAAACTCGGGGTCCTTCAGGGCTGAGGGAAGCCAAAGGCTCTCACAACCAAGCTGGTTGCACCTAGCCCCAGCACCACTCGTGGCTCTTTACCTCCAGCCCAGCCCCCCAGCCAGCCCTTCCCCACTCTCTCCCAGTGGGGCCCCACCAGCTTGCCCCAGGGCAGACCCCAGCTCTGGTGTCCTTTCCTCCCCAGGGAAAGGGCCTCAGCTGTGCTGTGATGGCCTTCTGTGCCCCAGACACCTCCTGTCCACCAGCTCCGCTCCATGGGCAGCTCTGGGCCGAGCCCTTGCCCTCCTTGGGGTATCAGAGATGCCAGGCCCATACCTTTTGGAAACACCTTGCCTGCCTGGCTCAGTGCTTCTCTCCACTCTGCCTGGCCAGGGATGGGACATCCACAGCTTCTTTGGGCAACCTGTTCCAGTGCCTCACCACCCTCACAGTGAAAAATCTCTCCCTTATATCTACTCTGAATCTATCCTGTTTCCATTTAAAACCATTGCTCCTTGTCCTGTCCCTACAGACTATACTGAGAAGTGTAAACCAAGTCAACCAATACATTCATACCCTTAATCAATAATCTGCTAAAATAGAGTTGGACTCAGTGAAAGTCATCCTCTGCATTATGCCTAGCACAAAAACACAACGCCATTGGAGAGAAAAAAAAAAAACTTAATAATGCCATGTATCACCATGGCATGAATTCCACATGTTCTCCATGTCAAGAAACAACACGTTCCAAAACATCCTTCTGCCCCCATGCATTTATAGCCCATGCCCACTCTCCATGTTGCCACATACACTTCCAGCCTTCCTATCCAAGTCACTCACAGCTCGCACTGTGAAATTCAATCTAAGCTAACTTTCCAATTAATTCTCTATCCTGTTCTCCAACATTCTCACCCCAGCTGACATGAAAAGCAGACACATAGTTTTACATTGAAATGGCAGAACAGATGAATACTTAGTGACCTAAGTAATTCAATTCACTGATGATTATTAAATCCTAGAAAGATTTCCAAAGTGAATAGCAGGCAGGTTCACACCACACAGGTTAAATGTTAAATAAAAAGACACCATGAGCTTTAGTTTAGAATTAGTGAAAAACTTGCTAATGTTTGATTTCCTTCAAGGGAAATAGATGGTTTCAACAGTCTCTAAAAATGCTTTTTTAAAAAATCCTGTTAGTCATGCCTTACTCAGCTAAAACTTAGGCCAAATTGAGTCTGTTTCCTGGAGTTCTTTCAGCTCCCCACAGACATGCTCTGCCAAACTGCCCTGTCTTGAATCTGCTATTTTTGAATCTGTTTCTTGCAATACCCCGGTCATCCGAGTGCAATAAAACCTTCAAAGACTGAATTGTTACCTATACTCAGAAATGTGTTACAGGTTTTCATCCTCAACCTTGCAAAGGAACTATCTTGTTCAATGAGAATATTTACCAGGAATTCTTACAGATGAGATAGATAGATAGATAGATAGATAGATAGATAGATAGATAGATAGATAGATAGATAGATAGATAGATAGATAGACAGATATGGAACTAAGCTGATTTTGGTACTTAGAATCAAAACTTTACCAGTGTTTCAAAAATCCCCCATCAGCTCCACTTTATGACAATCTTGGGAGCATTTGATGAGCACATTGTTGACATGATTTTAGAAAGCAGGGCAGAGTTTTGTAATTGCCAATTCCAAGGTTAGATTGCCCCCTAGTTCACTGCCAGAGTATAACCGATAATTAAAAAAGTAAAAACAGTGACCCAACAAAAACTCTCAGCATCAGGAAACCCTGTGGGTGATGTATTTTGGGGTGGTCTCCAGGTTTTTTGGGTTGTTGGAGTCAACTGCCTGCCTAAGAGTACATTTGAGGCATATAAACAGCACTCCCCTGAAACCCATGGTCTGTCAGGTCTGATCTCGTAGACCATCTAAATAATTGCATAAATTGCTTTCACTTCCTGTTCAACTCAAAACAACCAAAAAAGAGAGTTTAGGCATCATTAGCCCATATAACCTATTCCATAGCACAAACATGTCATTACATTAATTAACATACTAATGCTGATTACTTAGGACTGCATAGCACATTAGGGTAATTAATATTGCAGTGGTTTGAGTTGAAAGGAACTTTAAAGGACATCTAGTTCCAACCCCCTGTCACAAGTCAGGGACACCCTCCACTAGACCACGTTGCTCAGAGCCCCATCCAACCTGTCCTTGAACACTTCCAGGGATGGGGCATCCACAACCTCTTCTTGAAAACCTGTTCCAATGCCTCACCACCCTCACAGTAAAGAATTTTTTCCTCACACCTAATCTAAAACTAATCTCTCTCAGTTTAAAAGCATTTCCTCTTGTCTAGTCACTACATGCTCCTGTAAAAAGTTTCTCTCCATCATCTTTCTTGTAGGCTCCCTTCAGGTACTAGAAGGCCACTGAAGTTTGCAAAAATAAATTGTATAGAAGTCAAATTTTAGAAATCTTCAGATAAGCAGGCAATGCATTGCAAACTTTACTGGTATTTTCTTTACCTGTCCAAGATGGGGCATTAGGCTTTAATTTACCTGAGTTTGATTCCCAAATACAAAACCAACTCCTCCAAATGAATTCTGTAAGAATCTGATTCAGTTCTTTCTAGTAAAAAGTTGCTGATAAACTTGCACATTTATTAATGGAACAACCACATACAACAATAAGGTGTCCACACAGAGCAAAGGACAAAACCAACAACATGCTCTACCCGCAAACCATGTTCTACTTGGATGAATCACTGCAAGATGCCCCTGATCAGAGATAGAGAGGTCAGCTGTGATCCTGCCCAGATGTAAGACTCACTGCTGCCTGAACTCACATTGTTTTTCTCTCTGTGACATGGAGTATTCTTTATAGGATTTCTATGAGCAGATGAATTCAGCACAATCTCTGGAAAAATCATTCCCATGAAGTACAGTTAAAAGAGGCATGAGAAGCCCTTTGTTTCCACTGCACTTTGGGAAAATCTACAGATTAGGAGAGGAAAAAATCCAATCTCTTTTAAAAAAACATCCTCTCTACAAAGATAAGGGAGGAACTCCACAAGCATCACTCACTCTAACGGCACTCATGAGTCTTACCAGTGTGTTGAAGTATAAGCTTGATGGAATACTTCAGCAATTCTTTTAAAACCAGGTATTTTTCCACAGAGACTTGTGTCTTTATGCAGCAGTAGTTTTAATAACTGATCCAAACATTCTGTGATTAATACTCACAAAGAGTTGGTTCCATAAGTTTGGTGACTTCATAGTATTGTCAAGCAAACCACGAACATGACAAACTCCTTTAGCTCAGGCACAATTTAAAGCCAAACTAAAAATGCCACAAGATATTAACTTCCTATGTGACATCAAGGAAAGTTACAACAGTTGTCAGAGCTGGAACATCTCTATTCTGAAGCATTTAATAAGCAATGCATAACAGTGTAATTCTCCATTCTACTCACAAGGGTAGAACCAGTTCCACTGTTACATAAACCATGTTATTCCTCTCCCTCTTTGAAACTGCTTTATAATTCCAGGGAACACAAGACTCTGTAGTGGCACCAAGTCACCAATCAGCCTCAGACTGATGTCAAGGTACTGTCTTTCTTTCCTGCCCTCATGTCTTTTATTTTTTCTATCTTCCTACCTCTAATACACACTAATTTTCATCTAAAACTTATATTTTGGGAATATAAAAGTAAAAGCATTGCTATTTTAACCCTCAAATAATACAGATTTAGTCTCACAGGGTAAAGAAGGACACCCTCCAACGAGGGAGCACAAGAATGTATCTGGAGAATAAAAATATCTGTAGATTATACGTGCAAGCTGCAATACAGTTCCAAGGATGGATCTCTTCTGCCAAAGCTTCACAGAGCAGCAGCATGGACAAGCAAGATTCATGAGTGGCACGACTTATCAGCACAGACCTTCTGTGTAGCCACACACAGGGGAATGAAATTGGCACTGTCTGCCTGACCAGAGCACAAACACCTCCTTTTGGGCCCCTGACTTCTCACATCTAAAGAAAAGTATGAAAACAGACACGTTTGAAAATAAAAACATTTTAAACTTTCACCTTGAAAAGAGCTGTTGGTGATGTGGCTGCATGGCTCAGAGAAGTACAGTTCAAGAGGTCTGCCCTTGGCCAGGCACCCTGACGGGCTGAGGCAGGAACTTGCATCAACTCAGGA